GCTTTTCAGCGCGCCAAAGCAGCTCATGGGCTCTTGATCATTGTCTGTATCCGTTATCACCTGCTTTTCCGTGATCACCGTGGCTTCGTCGTCGAGGTTTTTGATTACTAATCCTGGAAAGTTGCAGCATCAGAGTGTGGGAAAGTTAACTCTTTGCCTTTTTTTTTCTTTTTGAATCCCCCAAAGGTCAATCCGTCAATTGCGCTTTGTTCTTAGTCCTCAGTGGGTTTTTTGAGTTAAGGGGTGTATTTTATAACCCCCCCTCTACACACATACACCAACACAAAAAATAAAAACAAGCAACTCAATTCATATTGACTACCGTTTGCGTATTCTTTATGTCTGACCCTTTTTCCTTTTGATTCTTCTTAAATTTAATCCTTTCATTTGCAAATCTTTTCTTTTTGCTGTGTCCTATCAAATGATTCCTCAGTTTTTTTTCTAATTTTTTAGTAGGGTAGGGAAATTAGTTGTAAGAGATTACCTCACCATGGTGCGTTATTGGATGAGGAGTTCTTTTCGTCCGCTGCGTTCGTGTGGTGCCTTCTCGAGCGGGTTTCAGCTTTTTCCTTCTGCGCGCGTGGCGAGAAAGGGGTATACTGCGGACCTCCCTCCCCCCTCATTGCCATTAGCGGAAGAAAAAAAAGAAGGAAAAGGAACTGTGGAGGGGATTTCGCCTTTTATGGCGGCCTTGATGGAGCCCCCGCGGACTGTCCCTCTTGTGGATGCCACCCGTACTTACCACACAATGGACGTTGTGCCGCCCTGCACGGTGTACGACCCCTCCGCGGCGAATCTTTCCCCCACCCCAACCGCCGAGCCCTCAACAATGGCAATAACTAACAAAGAATTCTATCGACGGGCTCACGCGGAAGGGGCGTTATGGCGGCATTGCGCGTCGTCGACGGCGGCTGAGCGCGCGGCGAACCGCCCTCCCCGCTGGTTTGAGGACCTCTGCCGGGATTTATTCTTTCGCATCGACCGCGAAAAGGCGGGGACGACGACTTCTACGGTGTCAAATGAGGCCAATTCCACAGCCTCGCCGGTCGATCCCTACGCATGGCTGCCTTTTGAGCTTCTCGATGAGGGGCGGTATCAAATCGCGCCCTACGTCTTCCCCGCCGCCGCGCCGTACTCCGCGGAGGAGCGAAGCCGGCTTTGTCTTGGGCGACCTGACGCGGAGTACGTCCATTTCTGCGATGGCTACGCCTTCCCGGAGCGGCATCAAATCCCGACCTCGCTCGGAACACAGCCCGCGCGGCTTTTGTTCGACCCGAGCGACCCGACCGCGGTGGTTTTTCTCCAACTTTCGCCCGACTTTCCGCCGGCGGGATGGCTGCCGATTCGCCCGACGTCCGGGGCTGTCCGGCGGGTCGTCGAGGCCTTCGCTCAGCAGGCCGTCCTTCACCGCGAGCGCCACCACGCCG